ACTGCGCGTTAAACAGTGGTCCTGCGCTTAGTACAGAGAAGGAGACAAAATAAAAGGGGCGCTTCAGAACTCCCTCTAGTGAAGGCCCTTTGGCCAGCAGTGCCGTGAGCGAGCAATTTCAGGGCTGCACCTTTACCCATACATGAGCAAGAGCTACAGGAGAAGTTGGCGCTTAGGGTGAAGATAGGCAGATGGCTCGCCGGCACCGGGTAGGCCCTCACCGCAGCCCTGAGATAGTGTCCAAGTGTCCGGTTGCACAACTGACCCCGCCCCACACGCACTTGTCACTTTGGCGCTTCAAAACCATTTGCCCAAGAATGGAACTATTGGTACCACCAACGGTGGCACATGCTAAGGATTATTTTCTGGAAAAATGGTATCTCTCGATCACGTGTTTGTTCGATTGCAAGACCACTGTGGTAGCTTTTCGTGAGAAATATGTTGTTTCAGAAGAGTATTCGGCTGCTATAAATGTCCATGATAAGCCACTTAATTGAGCTATCATTTTTTGGCCAGGTTGCTACTTAAAAAGACCCTTACCTGGTAAAATAAAAAAAAATAGTTTATAGTTTTTATCGGTATTGCAGTACAATTTTTTATTTCATATGTAGAGCATAATGTTTAGGGGAAATAAAAAAAACTAATTTTACATTAAACATCCATGGAATATGAAAATATATAGGAAGTGTGTCCATAAAGCAGGTGGCATATATATGACACACTCTCTGCCCACATTGGGTGGATACTGCTGATGGTGGGTATGAGAAACAATTGCCACGCCAGGTGGTACTGACCAATCCCCCTTGGTTCGTGGGCTCAACTGAACTGTTGGCCCTGGTAACAGAGGCTGTCACTCTGGGTGTGGCTCACTAGAGCTCTTCAAAGCGTTCTTGAGTCACACTCTGATGCCCGACAGTCGCACAGCTGACGCCAAGTGCGCGCAATACTTTGTAGTTTTCACGTCTCGGCAGCACGGCAACGACAACAAAAACTCATCTCGTGGTGCCATGTAAAACCACAATTTACAATGCGTCATTATTATGACAAATAATGCGTGCATATGTTTTGTCACTGCCACTGATGTGATCACAATAGAACTCTCGCATCACGTGTGCTGCATGTTTCAACTTACTTGACCTCTGATTCTGAAAGGGGGTGCAATATATAAAGGTCAAGGATCAAACGTTGCACTTCGTTTTATTTCAAGAAGTCAACAAGCAGCAAGTGGGAGTGGTTCTTAAATTCAGGGGTGACTCGTTTTAGGGGAACGTGGGTTAGAAAGTAACCTCTAACGAGCTACGATTTATGCTATGAGGTTAGTTTCGGAAAAATAAAACAGTTATTTTCATAATGACAATTGTTTATCTGGCAAAGCCTCCGTGAGACTCAAGACTGCCTTTCACGAGAGTCATCCTGCATTGGAATGTTTGTCGAATACGACGAATGAGTGTTTTGATTTCGTGAGGAATAAGCCACAAAATTCTGCTTAGAGATCCCATACAAGGCGGGGGGTAGGGCAACTCAACACCTACCACCCCCTGGCCACCCCACAGCCCCATGCCAACAAAACTTGCCTAACGCCAGTGGTCATCCACACAAATACTGAAGGTGCACAAACCCTTGCTTGGCTCTGATGAGATCGGGCAGATTCTAGGGGGTGATTGGGCCACAGACAAGGTTGAAGCACAGTCCATATGAGCTATAATATAAGACAAAACTAAGTAAAGGCCATGTGTTGGGCCAATAAAATCGTGTGTAGATTTCAAAGCCACATTATAATCAGAAAATCTGGTTACATTTTACTTAAAAATTAAACTAAAACACAGTTAACCGATGGTCAAGTAACTTCACTCTACTTTTGTGTGACGAAAGAGTCGTGGGAATAAGAGAAAGTTATGGTCTTGAGGCTGGACTTAGAAACACGGGCAGAAAGGCAGCAGTGCAGATGGTCAGCAGGAGGAAGTTCCAGACCTGGAGGTACCAGATGAGAATAAGCAACGTCCCACAGAGTGAAGGCTGACTCGGGGATTCAACAAACGGCCTTGGTCGGTGGTGAGGAGGGCATGTGAAGCAGCCTAGAGTGTGGTAAGAGGGGAGAGAATTTGAATATCCTTAGATGATCAAATAGCAAGCACTCCAACTACATCGAGATCAAACTAAGAGTGAAAAATGCACAATTTAAACATACAAAGTTGCATTTGTTACAATAAAGGGGTGGATAAAACTATATATATGCACACATTGCATGTCTGAGAGCTGCATGTATGAGGAGTGTAGTGCTTAGCACACTGCGCTATGGACCCGAATTTCCCCAAGTTCAATTCCCACTTACGACCAATGTACGGTGGAGAATATTTGAACCGCTCCTGGGCCTCCCCCTACGTGGACTCAGCCTCATAGTGAGTCTGTGGTGCAGTGAGTTCAACGTTAACACGGGGGGGGGGGGGGGGGGGGGGGGAGACGGCTGGGGGTGGTACCCTCCCCATTGTGTGCCGTCCCGGCCTGCATAGATGCTCGCGAACAGCACTTGCCCCAACAGCCTTTTAAATCCATAATATAGGTTTTTTGTTTGGGTTAGATCACGTATATATATAAATGTGTTGTTAAATCCCACCACCACCCGACACAACCAACTAGTAAGGGTCGTCACGTAAACAGAACGTGCCAATTCGTCACTAGTACAGCACACCGGTGTGTTGGAGAGCCAAGCAACAACATTTACATTTTAAATGATATACGGGGGATCTTTGTCTTCGTGTGTAGCATAACATGCAATGCATATTGCTATCGGTTTATTTAATCTCATTTTTTATTCAAGTGAAGATAGGCAGCTACAGGACAGTAATGTATTATCCTGTATTCTTTACCGAAAGGTCATTTTTTATGCGTGCGGTCAATTTTAATGCATTAGAATTTGGGCGCATCGCGCCTCGCCCGTCGGCTAATATGCATATATGCCCACACAAGAAATTTCTTTTTTGCGGGGAGGTAAAAACTAATTTGGGGGGGTCGACAATTTTTGGAAACCTGTTGGATAAATTTTCTACCCACTTTCTATAACTTTTTTTGATGCAGGCCTTCTGAAAGCTCTTTTAATTCAGTTGACGGCCAAACGGAATGCCAGGATTTTATAATGGATAATGAGTATTGGGCTGTTTTCAAGAATACGCCCCTGTTTCTAGGCTGGGCACAATATTTTTTTTTCATATAAAAACCTAAAACATTTATTCGTGAATAACGTTGAAGACGATGACACAACAAGTTGCGCCACAAATACAGTAAGGGCAGTATCGTGCCACCCTCTCTCTCATGGTGCGGTACATTCTAGCAATGGACGGATGAATTATTGTCATTTCCATTCTCTACATTTACCTTTAAGGCAATACTTTGATAGCCATGGGTTTCAAAATCCGGGGACAGTATCCTCTGCATTATCCTTTATAATGCCCCCCACCCACCCAGTCTAGCAGATGATACAGCAGCCACACAATAGGCATTAGATGGATCAGCTTTTGACGATGTCACAAAGCCATGCACAATGGCTTTGTGACAACAAAGGACAAATAAGAGGGAATGTAACGATTCATCTTACACGGATGTGCATTAGCGGGCGCGCTCCTGTCAGACCAAATGCTGCACGTGCTTGCTCCAAATTGGTCACTTAGCTAATTGCGTACTTGCTGCTATCACATATATTATTTGCAACATTCTAAATGGGAATGTTTTCAGCGAATGCAAGATGTAGTTATAACAGATATATTTCTGAATACTGCAGCAGTAATGTGGCATTTGTACGTGATTAATATATTATGATTGGCAATTACATGAAGCACTGTATACTCATTTTGCAAAACTACTGCCATGGCAAAACAAAACGATGTGTTTTTGTGATGCCATTAGTTTTAACAATGAATGTAGAATTCTATATTATACATCTTTTTGTTTTGCTTACCAGCACAGCAACAGCAACAAAAAACATGTAAAAAAAACAAACAGCTTTTAGTTTAGGGGAGAGCAGGATAATGTCTTTTATATCCATGAAAAAAAGACTAAACAGGGCAAACGTGTTGGCAGCGCACGGGACTTCGCAGTTGTAATGCCCCGTGGAGATGACACAGATAATCCGTCTTGACTAAAAGCTCCGCAGAGTGAAAATGCAATTGTTCACAAGGTCCTGAATCAGCCGCTCAGTGTCCTCGTCGGGATTACTGCCTCTAAGGGTTAAAATGCTGCCCTTGGCATCTTATAATTGAAAATGCAACACTGTACACCATATGAAATGCGCTCATCCATTAATCACATCTCGCTATGCAGTTTATTATTTATTAAACAAGCCGCCAAATAGCGCATTTGTGCGTTATGTTTATGGCACGCAAGGGGCACAAATGGCTGGAAAAACGCATTACACGTGGCATCAAACATTTATAAAAGGGACTTACAATATGGTAGCAATTCCCATGGTGTAATTTTTATTCCGTGCATGATATAGAGTAGTTGTATTGTTTGAGTACAAGACCCAAGGGGATTTTTAAAAAAATATTGTGGTTCATTTGTTTTTTTCAAATGTCTAAATTATTCAAAGGTAAGATATATTCGTAATGAATACCAGGGGTGTAATGGTTCCCTACCCGGCAGTTCAATGTAATGTTCAGATTAAGGGCAACAATTCCATGCGAGGACAGACACCTTTTTGTATCTCTTATTTACCATAATATTTTTATTGTTTCTCCTTGGTCTCATTTATACAATTTTGTTCTCTCCATTTGCCTAAATGTAAGAGATTCGCATATCATCCACGTGTAGTTATCATACGTTGAAAAATGCCGATTACTCAAGTGTGATTCGATGCGGTATATTGTGAGCCTTGAGAATTGACATTAATCAATACACCAAAGGATCTTTACGCCTCTAATGAAAGCCTTTATTAGGCCACGGAATTTGAGTGTCTTATTTTTGTAGCATTCACACCAATCTAATGCAATGCGTCGTTCACTCTACAGGTACCCAAGCCTGGGCGTCAAATATCAGTCGTCCTACAAGGCAGGGGCTGATGTGTTCTCCAGGTTCTCGGCGTACATCAAAAACTCCAGCGCCACGGACAACGGCTCCGACAACTGTGAGTGCCCAAGGCTCAGCTTCACTTCTTAAACATTCATGGAGTTTTTTTTTTATTTGTATATACCAGTCTACACTTGTCTTACTCGAGAAAACAGAATGTGTGTTTTTTGTTTGTTTGTTTGTTGGCGCATTCATCGCCGAATTATTGATACCGCACCACAACTCAACACGAATGTCCCCCGATACGGAAACGCTTTCTGCGCAGACCTGATGAAGAACCTCCTGAAGGCGCTGAAGCGGCTCGACGATTACTTGAAGGAGCCGCTGCCATACGAGGAAAACAGCAGCGATGTGACTGAGCGGAAGTTCCTGGACGGGAACCAGCTGACGCTCGCCGACTGCGACCTCCTGCCCAAACTCCACATCGTCAAGGTGAGCCGCCCGGGCGGTGTTCGCTTTGCTAACGAAACCAGCGACGGAAATGTACGGCGATAATTATTCCATTTTTTTTGTTTAGCCGACGTTGACTGTTGAGCGGATGGTAAGCATCAAGATTTGACGGCTATTGTACAGCCTGGGCCAGATGTCTTGTGATCCCCCCCCCCTATTTAATTCTCTAAAACGTAATATTTTTGCATGCATACCAATGGGTGTGTCATGCAATGGAAGCAATTTAAAAGAAATAAAAATGTTAGGAGTCAATTAATTGGGTGTCACAAGACATCTGAACCATCCTTTGTAGATGACTGCCCACCATAGACCAAAGCGTTACTTCGCTGTGACGAGACAAACATTTACGAGGCTGAATGAAGGTACAGACGAAGATAATTTATCAACTACATGAGAGACTCCAGTGCAACGAGGAAGATTACAAAAAATTGTATTTGTAAATGAATATCAAATAGATTTACTGAGTTCACTGATTGGACGACCTGCTCGTTGTAGTTGGGGGAGGGGAACTTTCGTGGCTCTCACACCAACCTCTAATAACTGACGGTGAACTACATTCTTGACTGCTTTAGTCGACTAAAGAGAATGACTAAATAACGAAGGTGCAGACGAAGGCTATGACTAAACAAACAGATGCTGACGAAAGTCACACCTGAGCCAGGGACCTCTGATTGAGTCGGGCAGGAGGTAGCGTGGCATCTCAGATGTCAGAGCACTGAGCCGGAGCCGCTGAGATCCTGAGTTTGTATCCAGGTAAACGCCTGTGAATAAGCAGGGTTCTCAATTGTAATGCGTTGCTGGTCTCATTCCCATCACCAATGAATATGGCTGAACTCCAGCTCTGAGCTCTTTCACTAAACAATGCATGGCTTAGCACAGCACCACCTAGTTTGTAACAGTGAGAACAAAAAGAAAGCAAATGAATATCAGACACTAATATACAAAATAATTTTCACGATTGATATACATGTCTTGTATATCTAGACAACCGTGATTGACTGCCTAAATGTGAATTAGAATGACGTTCAAGAAGGGATAGGAAGCTGAAAGTTTTACATAAGTACAATTGAGTGCTTATAAATAGAAACATCCAAATTCCACAATGTTTGGATTTTGCCTGCTGACAATTATGGCCAGGAGGATGGTTAAGCATTAAGTTGCTCATCACTTACAAATGTGTAGTGGGTCCCACGGAGGCACACACTTGAACTTGGAGGCAACACGTTTGTTCTCACACCCCAACAGGGTAACTACATAAACGTACACTGGTTAACTAGACCACAACGGGGTAACTACATAACCGGGTCAGTCAGTAACACATTGTCTGACCCACGATGCCGAGCGTAAAGATCGAAGACCAAGGACCGAGGATCGAAGAGACGTAGCACCGACGGGTTCCATTCAAACAGACAGCCCCGATTGGCTCTCGGGACCTCCAATATACGTCACTACAAATGTACAATCCTATTATTACTGAAGCAACTAATTTGTCTCCCGTGGAGTGTGACGTGAACTGAGATAGAAATCAGGAGAATGTCCCATTACAGATTACTATTGAATAATATTCGTGGTTTCCTGTAAAAAAAAGATTGGGAGGGCTTTCAGATGCAATTCATAAAATGTTTTGTGGTAACATTGAAAATAATATATAAGTATACAAGGTTCTGGTTATATTTGGTTTAGAGAGTCTACATTTCATGGATTCCCTGACTTCACCACTCACCCAGACCTATCAATAATGCACTCAATAATTCAGATCAATATTTGGTGACCAGTCCTAAGTGATTTTGCAAAACGCAATAAACTGCATTATAGCAGCTTCTTAAATATACCAGAATATATTCCAAAATCCAGTTGATATGTAAAAAAACCTGTAAAATTTTACTAAACGTGATGTAAGAATATAAAACAATGTATAACCTAACAGAAATGGTTGCTTGACTATATTACGAATGAAGCCTTGGTGTCATGGTTAGCACACTGAACATGTAATCTAGAGGTCACCGGTTAAGTTTCCTGGCGCAGCAGTTGAAACAATGGGCAAGTTTCTTAAAACTCACACCTCTGTCAACCCAGCAGTATAAACGTCACGTGTGATGGGGTAACATGTGGGTGCTCCCACCTCCTCCAGTAATTTCATGCCTGCACTTTTACGATCAAGATAACCAGAATGACAAGACACTCATTTTCCGAACAGTTAATGTTTTCTTTCAGAAACAAAAAAAAACTTGCCAGAAGGCACCAAGTCTCATGCAGCCGTTCAGTTAACGACTGGGCAAGTACAATTTCCTTCACGCCCAACAATGCCACGCGCCACTCTTCGCAGGTGGTGTGCAAGCGCTACAGAGGCTTTGACATTCCGGAGCAGCTGATGGGCATCTGGCACTACCTGAAGAACGCGTACGCCCAGGACGAGTTCATGCGCACCTGCCCGGCGGACCGCGAGATTGAGCTCGCTTACGCTGAGGTGTGCCGAAGGAAGTGAGGCGAGGGCCCTGTCCAGAGGCTAAACCCCAACACCGCCCTCACCCCCCCCCTCCACTGCCGCACAGCCTTCAAAGCACTTGGGATTGACACCAGTCCTGGCATTCCCAGCATCGTCCTCTATTTTGAGGTGCACCGTCTTAGGGAAGTCTTCCCGGAATATGAAAAGTCCCTGCTTTTTTGTAAGTTGTGTAAAAATTATAATAACAATACTACTACTACTACTACACCACCGAAGACAATGCATTTACACGTCATATTGGAGTTCTCACATCGTCCGGTATTGTGATACATTCTTCTGCTGCCCATGACATGCAAGTGGTGGCAACCGCGCCCAGCGCTAGTGTCCCATCTGGGGCGAGTGCTTCTCGCAAGCCGTGGATAGTAAAGGCAAACTTGCATCCCTTTCTATGTCAGCGGCTTGGAGGGTTCAGCAGAGTTAAATTTGGTATCCCCCCCCCCCCCCCCCCGCTAATGCCCGTTGCTGAAGATGATGGTCTGTGTTGTCTCTTGCTTAGCACCGGCTGTAGCTGTGGGAATCGAAGCAGACCTTAAAGATCGCAAACAGTATTTTTCCTGAAAAATGACTTTCAAACGTTCTCTTTTAATATAAGCTTTAACATTAATCACCTGTACATATGTTATATCTCCTACACATATAAATTATATAGATATATATCGTGCTTACAAGATTAGTTTTAATGCATCTTTTTACACAAATACGTTAATGGTCATAAGGAGAATCTGAGCTTGTGTAATGTGCATTCGGAATGACTGCATTATTAGTTCTAGCACTAATAAATAAATACATTATAAATGTTCATGTGACATCATTGATTTTGTACATCTAATTATTTGATTGTAATTCAGTAGTTGGCAAAAAACTACTTTGTATCTATTGAGGTACGGCAAATTAATGTCCATACAGATTCCAGGTATGACCTTGCATTCTTTAGGGATGCACAGCAAATCCGATTAGGTAACAGTAATGAACTCATTCCAGGTTTAGAATGAAGATTCCTCTACCAGACAAAGGCAAGACCTTCAATAATCTACACCGTGCAATCGCCTTATCGGCTTCAACAATTGAAACGTGTAATTTGCTTAATTACTTACTAAATGGAGGAACTTGCAAAAACTACACCAACTCTCTCCTGAAGCCCTCTCGTGGCCAACAGACCTCGACATTGGCATTAAGCTCTTGAACATATTGCCACACGCAAAAATAGAATAGAATTTACTTATTTATGAAAGTAAGTGAAACATATGTGTTTGGGGCATCGCATAAGCGCATATTCCTGTCATGTGTTACGAGTAATATTATTGTACAGTTTAATTATTTTAAAAAGCTTTATGGAAAAACACTCCTCAAGTGCTAAAGACTGTTTAACATCACCTTATAAAATGTCATACTCTGGAAATGATATCTTCAACCAGTTATAGATGCCTCACATGCATGCAGATAGATACTTTCTAGTCTATTGATATCGATAATGGTTAAATTGGTAATTAATGGTAAAACAAAACAAATTCATATCACCACATGTGTGACGTCCTTATACTTATTTTTTCAGAAGTGCTCACACACTCAAAACTTTGTATTACAATACTGCTCTTCACAACTATCTTCAAATAAGACTTGCAACAATGAAACATCAAGGTGTGATTCACAATTGGTTTTTGGGCCAAAGTGTGTCACACTCGCGCAATCTGACCTACACATCTGTGATGAATCGAACATTACTCACAGAAGTTTGTATCTTAAACGAAACACGGCCGTTGATGGTAATGTTATTGAGTCCTCGCTTATTTTAAACGAAACACGGCCGTTGATGGTAATGTTATTGAGTCCTCGCTTATCTTAAACGAAACACGGCCGTTGATGGCAATGCTATTGAGTCCTCGCTTATTTTTTTTTCTTGTTAAGTCTTGGATGTGTGTTTATTATACGCTTAACTAAGAGGTGTCTTTGTTTTGATGGCTCTTTTTTCTATGTTACCTAGTTCGTTATCAAATGTCACAGCAAGACTACAATTGAATGTTTTCCTTTGTAGCACATTAGGGGCCATGGCACATTTGTACACCAAGCCATAAATAAGTGGAGGCTCCAAAGTGGTGGTTAAAGAACTCCTCTTATCCGTGATCAGACGTGGTCGACGAATGTTGCGGATCCTTTTATCCGCTGAGTCATCTGCGACTTTACTCCATGAATGATGAGTTTTCGTGGACCCGAGAGTCCCGTGAATAATAGGAGTTGCGGACAATATAGTCGCGGCTACTAGTTCTGTAAATGTAATGGTCCTACTAAAGCAATTACAAGAGTTTTGAGTTCAGTCCGTTCATTCCTAAAAATTTTAAAGAAAAAAAAATGTCATATGCTCAGGAGCACATGCAGTAAATTGATGCGCTCATCAGAAACTATACCAACTCTACAGGGTGATTAACATAGTCCGCATACATACACCTTTGGGGAAAAAAAATCTTAACTTCTTGAAAATGCTTGCACTCCACACAACCTTTGTGTAAAGTGCAAGCAAAAGCTGCCATCGTGGAATCGACCAGTGGCTGCCAGCCTGTGGTCTGCGGACCACAGAAGATCTCCGAGGCCATGGGAGGCGTTACCCGGAACTGTTGCCGATACGGTGTTTGGGAGTCATTTTGTTGTTGGTGAGCAGTGGGTCCGCAAACACATGTTTTTGAGGATTGACAGTGGTGGCGCTCGCGTCTAGGAGGGTTGGGAATGGACTAATCGCATCGATCCACGTGAATTTCTGCTTGTGTTTTTCTCTCTGGAACACCGCGCAACCCTTTATTTCTCGGGGGAAAGCATGCATTCGGGGGAAAGCATGCATTGGAGGGCCTTGTTCTCTTTCGGTCATATTCATGAGACGTCTTTCAAGAATGCACAGGCACAAACCAAAATGAGAACGTTTGCCACGATCAGTGTGATTTCATTGATTTCAGGTGTCGTTAAAGGTGTCCTCTTGAACTAATCGGCGACAATCTGAACTGCATTTCTGAACACATTCAATCAGCCTCGGGACAAATCACCCAGCGCACGTGCCCAATCTCATCCTATCTCAGAAGTATAAGCAGGATTGAGCCTGGATAGTGCTTGGATGGTTGACCACCACACATTACAAAAATATGGTGTGGGTTGTTGTCAGCAGAGGGCAGTACAGAAAAATCCATGGTATTGTGCTATCCTCACAACGTCTCTCCTCTCCTACTGCACCAACCCGAGCTGACCAGCATGGCAAAGTATGGTAAAAAATAACCCTAACGTTACATATGACATATGGGGACTATGTACACAGACAAAAAAATTTAGTCTTCGAAAAATGGCTCAGAAGTGGTTGTACATCAGTGTCAGATCGTTATACTTTTTTTATTAAAACCTTTCACCTGGATGATCCCTTGAGATGGAATATCTCGTTTGCAAAGGTGCCCATGGTGTCAAATGACACATATATAGCAAACAAGTAGACACGTAATATATACCTTAAGCAGAGTACATCCACCCACCTCACACTGCCCCCGTATTAAAATTATATTTCATTTTCTATTTATTTATTTTTTATATAACATTGACTTCACAAATGGGCTTTACACAAAATGCTTCTCAGCTGCCAATGATATCTCTCCCTCCAGGTGTTCCTTTACTCGAGGAAAGGTTGTGTTTGTGCAAAGCCATTGGAACTGAAAGGTCCATTGATCACACTGAAGTCTATTAATCATCACGGTTTGTTATTAATGTTTTATTTAATGTTTCTATTCGCACTTTTAAAATTAAACGATAAGATGTTTTATTATTATTCGTAAGAGAATGGCCGGTTTACCGTCCAGTTTACGTGAGCTCAGCAGTGATGTAACAGCAACTCTAACAGTTGATTTATACTTTACAGTTAATGTCCATGCATATATTACAATTACACAAAGTTGTTACGTCATCTGTCAGGCCTGTGCAAATTGGGACTCGTAAAAGCGTGCCATGGTTAATGCATGTAGTCTCTGAGGAAAAAATATATAAAGTTCATCAACCTTCACTATGCTCACGGACTGTCGCTTAGTTTTCAGAAATTTCTTGCACGTTTTCAGAAATGACCTGGTTTTACATAATGGTAGAAGAATGCTGCCCTGGTCTAATGGTTAGGAGCCCACCGTGTGTACGTATGTATGTTGAACTTCTTTCGCACCTGTAGATAGCCAACCATGCTAATCGGATGTGCCGGGAGGATGGGTCAACTAACCACGCTGGACTTGCAACCCAAAGATCGCCGGTTCGATTTGATCCCCCGGCAAGGCAGTTGAAACGACAGAGACATTTTCTTAAATCCCACCCCCCACAGCCTCTGTCCAACACCCATCAGTATAAATGAATGGGCAGATCTTTTATGGTAGGGTCAAGCGTGTGGGTGCTCCCACCTCTTCCTAGGTGTCTGGCCAGCGTAGAAGGGTAGGCCACACATCGTGACGTTCCCACGACGAGGGAGATGCCCTTTCTACCAGCAGTGACATGACCCAAGACATTGCAGGGCTGCACCTTTATACAAAGCACGCGTGGTTCTGCTTGGTCCTTTTCCCCACATGACCGAGGGGGGGAAAAGGTTTGCATTTGGCATACAAACTGAACACAATAATTAATTTGAGGCAGTAGTTCTCACGGAATGGTAATAGCCAGGTTGTGTTTGCGTGGTTTCATTGTTGTGTCCTTGTGTGCTAAATGTAAATATAGATTTTCACGTACATATTCTTATTTTGTGAAATTTTTTATTGAGTGTGTATAATGTATACCAGGGCTGAAAGTAAGACCGCATTGTAATGCGATGACAACAGGAGAAAGAAAGCTATGATTTTTGAAGTTGCGTAACAACATTAAGAGTTCTACTAACGTAACTGTAATTTCTTGGTAATGCTACGGGTTTATTTCACCATTTGCTCAATAAACATAATCAAAGCATTCGATGACATTGCACATCCGTGGACTGTCTTCAATTTGGGAGCCAGAAGGTTGCATTATTTACGTTCTTAAAATGTGCACTCGGCATCTTACGTGGAAATAAAACATCGTTGTTGTCACGTTCCTCCGCCCTCTTCCTCCAACAAACCCTCCCCACCACCATCAACAATAATGGGCGACCGCCTATTATTAATGTGACAGCTCCCATCTGTTCTGCTGCTCGTAAAAAAATAACACACAAACTGCATTGGTGCGGCATGGCGGGCAGAGGCAGACTGCATGACCGAGACATAATAAGCTCGTCGAGAGACGGAGGGGGCAAGGCAGTTCGTCAGGCCGCATGGTAAATCACTGAATTAACTCGCTTTGAAGAGTGCTCCAATGTCATGTCACGTTATTTTATGTTCAACTAATCTATTAAACTATTTTTTTTATGTTGCCGTGTAAGGCACACTGAGCTAATATACTGTAGCTGTTTGTCATAAGTGACCTGGCCACAAAGGATAGCTCAACGAAGTGGCTTATCGTGTGGAAATTTATAGCTGCCAAATACAGCATTTATCTTCAGGGGCCACATTTTAGCCAACATACCCGTTACAAAAACAAAGCTCAAGTATGTTTTTTTTTTTTTCCCGAAGCATAACAATGACACATTCCATCGAAGACGATGTTTAAAAAAAACACTCATAAAAAAATTAGTGCGTTGTTCGAAGTTCCACACAAGCGTCTCAATGCCGTGACTAAAACCGCCCGAAGTATTTGTGATCGAAGGAAACGTGCCGCATTTATTGGAGGATAACTCAATTGTGACAATCCTAGCAATCCCACATTCCGCGTGTCAAAAAGCGGTGGTAGCCCTCAGGAAGAGCCACACAACCAGAGGCGAGGCAAACCCTAACATGCATCTCCCCTTCACACTCCTCCGGCTGGTTCGATTTGGGTTCCTCGCATGCTCAGGTCATACAGGCGATGCATTCCAAGCTTTATCAAACTGAGCAGGAAATTATAATGCGCCCATTGAATAAAAGCACATCTTGACTGGTTATATTCGACCACGTTATATTCGACCACGTTAAAATGAAGTGGCTCAGACCTTCATTGATATCCGATAACCTGAGGCGCATCTGTTACGTCAATGGGAACAGAGGGGGTTTCCAGATGTTGTCCAACTCGCTTGTGAAATGTAAAGCTATGCAATGTGACATTCAAAACCAGTAGTTGTGCAGACTTTAGCCATCTCAGACTCAACTCCCTGAAATATATAGTACGAAGATACTGAATGACCAAAAACAGGATTCATACCCTTTCTGGCATAAATGCAAGCGTTACGATGTTCCTCTTTTGGCGGTCTTTGCTCTAGAACTGGTGAGACAAAGCCATAAAATCGGCTGTCTCTGGTGTAGGCCAATCAGCTTCAACGACAATGCATACATTATCAAAGCATATTGTGGTGCATTTTTTTTGCGCAAGCATATGTGGCGAATGGAGACCCGATGCCTTGCAATGTGTCTATTTGGTGTTTGAACAACTTAACGCCTGCTTTTTTGCGAGAAAGGGCGATGCCCTTTTACCATTCGCATATAGTACTGCGTTCTAATGTATGTAAAATCACATTGCTGTAGATTATCAAGATGTTGGTGAGAACGAAAAATCCATAATGATCATGACCCCAATGGACTCTTACGAAGCAATACGCTTCCATGTTCGACATTATCGCAACATAAACAAAAGGAGCACTGCCTTATAGGGTAAAGAAATTAGATGAGGGTCAGCTTTGCGATTAACGTGGGTTGCTTTCACACGGAGCAAAACAAAAAATCCCAATTTAATTGGCAATGGTTCTGCTACACTCGCAGGCTGGCTGGCTCGCGTTGCACGCAATTAGGTTATTTTGGCGATTTGCCATTCCTCACTAAAAGCGTGGAGGATTTTCATTATTACCTCCCACAATAACAGCAAGGCTGTTGTTCTGTAGGAAGTAGCCACTTCAAGATAATTTGCTATTTGCTGGAATGCCCGACCCATGAAAGCACTACCACATTGCATTTCATTCGATGCATAAATTATATATATATTTTTTCCCCAATAAGAGCGACAAGAATGCGTATTAATTATACTTTCATTACTAATTTCCCTATGACTAAATCACCCGGAATGTGCCGGATCCCTTCACACTTTGGAGGCTTTAGCAGGTTTGAACCTGGATAGTGCTCGGACGGGTGACCAGCATGCGCATACACAGGTGTGGTAGTCATTTTGAACATTACATGGCAGTGCAGCAACATCCAACTCTTAGTCTGTACGAACCCCCAACGTCACAAACATGCACGGACTAGCATTCTTCCCAGTGAACACTCCCTACTTATTTAGAGAAAAATACACTCGTTAAAATTTTGCTAATATTATCAGCCAGGACTTGACTGGAAGACAGCCACGAAAGATGAAATACAGTATTCCACAATGCACTTCATTTTGCATGCTTTGTGTTTTATTAATGACATCGCACACAAGAAATACAACAGAGACAAGAAGATTAGAATGAACGGTGCGTGGTTTTCTCTCAATTTCACATTTTAGAGGGCAGTGGCGCGAAGCAGTGGTGTAGTGGTTAGTGCAGTGTGCTACGAATTCAGCAAACCCGAGTTACATTCCCAGCGATGGCTAACATAAGTGGCAAGCGATATCTGAAACAGTTCTGGGCCACCTCGCTGCATCTACACGTATTGACCGGCGCAGTGAACTCGGTATGGCGAACAACAACCACAACTGACATGGCGTGTGGAGAGGCCTTCACCCAGCAGTGCCTTGCGTAAAAAAATTGGTTAAATGGTTATTGTATTATTAATATGGCAATGGTGAACCCAGCTCTACCCTAGTTCTGCTCTACGGACCTGAATAATGCACGCTGGATCTTCGGCAGATCGGATGAAAGAAAGAAGAAATGATCGAGCCGAGAAGGATTCTGGGAGCGTCACGAATACGATCATCTAATTAATGCACCATCGGGGAACAAAGAGGCCTGCAGCATACGACTTTGGTTCAAAAGGTACAAAGACGTAGACGTCATTGCTTTGGAAGTGTAAAAAGAAGGGAGGGCCAACGAATGATCATCAGTGGCCTTGCACTGCCATGTATAAGGGGCAAGAAGCGGAGGCCATCCACGCAAGAGGTGGGTTCATGGCATAAAAAGGAGGACTTAAGAGACAACAACGAAATTTTGGGAGGAAAGATTACTGTTCACCGCCGAGCGAATGGCAAATGATGGAAGAGAGGAGAGTGAGGATATCTACTGGCCAGCAGCCTTGGTTCAAGTGCATCAAGCACCTTCCCCAGTAACATAAGTATCGCTGGGATTGATGACAATTATTGAACCCAATGAGGAATTCTTTCAAGTTGAGTTATCAAGTTACTGCTTTAGTGACTGTAAACATAGAACAACTGTTTAATAAAAAAATAACAACAGCTCTCTCTGTTTTTACTATCACCAAGAGAAACAGTATATCTCAATGATTTGACAGCCTGGCCCTGTTTTTGAAAATACTGTATTGACGTTCACATACAGAGAGCTGTAAATATTCATGATAGGTGAGAGTTGGTGCCCAGTGTTGAACTCACTGGGATTTAAGGATGGTCTCAATTGTCTTAACAACACACAAAGGTGTACTCACAAAGAGAAGGAATTACTCCAATCATGATAAATCTATTTGTTTCCCGCACGCACGCATTTTCCCGGTGTGATGGGTTTTCTCATCATTTACAGAAAGCGTTGTACTCCTTATCAACTATCTTCCGGTGTAGATCATTGGTATTCACCGTCTCTCTGAAACTTGGCACACGCTATCTCGAAGCTCTACGCCCTCTCTGAAGCCATCCCTCCTGGCTACCGTCGATATGAGCATATCCATCAATCCTCTGGCAGTGGAGGTGGCCGCGCTGTCATTTCTACACCCCGTTGTAAAGTCTCTGCCATAAATTCCCCAAAATCATCGCCCCCTTTTGAATATATCTCCCATCACCTCCTACCCACCTCCTCCAACCTCTCACGCGCTGTCATCTCCCGTCAGCCAAAACCTAGGCATAGACTCCCGAGTCTGAATTTTCTGTTCTGGACTCGACCTTACGTCTCTCTCAATCCATCACCACGACTGAGTCCAACATCTGTGTTTACGAGCCATCTAAGTGCATCTTGGAATCCGTGGATTCTCTCCAACCCCATCTCATTTCCCACCAACATCCATCGCCCGCACTTTCGAACCTTGCCATCTCAAACACGGCGTCAACCTGTCACCAGTATTTCACCGGCCACTGCGAATGCCTCCTTCATCCCTCCCTCCCTCCCCTCCCCCCATAGGCCACCAACCTTCTAGGTACAGCATCTCCTTCCACTCCACGACGCACCTCTCTGCTTCGATACACAGCACAATTGTCCTCAGTCGAAAGCAAAATAAGCATCGCGGCCCCCTTGGCCTTAAGGCAGAACAATAGGAGTTGTTCACACCTGCGCATGTGTGTGCACGCATCTGTCTCTTTGAAAGTCGTTCTCGGTCAAGCGTGGCACGTGACAAAAGCGATACAGGTCAAGACACCATAGCAACAGAAATACAACGTTTCTGTAGGATTCGCATTGCGAAAAATTAGGGGCCGTCCATAAATGATGTCACGCGATTTTTGACGATTTTTGACCCCCCCCCCCCCCTCATCACACGGCGTCACGAAAAGTCAGACCCCCCCTCAAATATGACGTCACAAAGCTCTGCCCCCCCCGCCCCCCAAAAAAATAAAACATGCTTCAAATCGCTTTTAACTATTTTCATTGTAGTGCGTATTTAATGTGGCGCTGCACTCTGATGTTGTAGGAGAAAACATTTATTAAAAAGTCTATTTAATTCAGTAGAACGTGTTGTCTATACAGTATTTATTTAAAGTTGCGCATTTTGATGTGACGTCACATTTCTCACCACCCCCCAACCCCACCTCGTGACACATCGTCACAAATGTCTGACCCCCCCCCCAGG